TTTACACAATTGATGTATGTCTGGATTGTGATAAGAGTTGTATGAGCCCCTAATAAAATGATTAAAAATAAATAAAAGGTGGTAAGAAAAAAAATCATGTAACTATAAGCATCTCTTCTTTTTTGGGGCAGGTTGGAGGATAAGAAAGAAATATTTCTTGATGAAGATTAAGAATCAGCCCAAAGAATGGCTAGTGTTAAGCTGGGTAAGCTGGGTTTCTTGTGTTGTTTTGCTTCAACCACATTTCAGGGAATTTAGGTGGGTTCATGAAAGTCAATTTAACAAGAACACCCCAAAACCAAACCCACTGCCATTGAGTCGGTTCCAACTCAAAGCAACCCTATGGGGTTTCCAAGACTGTCAATCTTTACAAGAGCAGTCAGCCTCGTCTTTCTCCTGAAGAGCAGCTGGTAAGTTTGAACCTCTGACCTTGTGTGGTTAACAGCCCAATGCCAAATCCACAGCTCTGCCAGGGCTCCTTCAATTCAACAAAAGAGTTACAACATTGTATTGTGCTCTAAAGTCACAAATTATTTTCTAAAGGGCCTCCACCATTCTGTATCGAAGATGAATCATTTTAAGCCATTTTGCTTAAGCATTTTACTATAATAATGTAAATTAATATGATCAACTAGTAAACATTTTAAGAAAAAATGGGAACAGCTTAAAATAGTTCTCTCTGGAGCATCTGGAAGGACGGCAACTTGAGGATTTCTCTCTGAAGAAAACCCTTGAGCATCATCTTCTGTCTTTCACCTGGGAGGTTCATTTGGTTAACGGGATCAGGTAGAAGTACAGTTGAATCCTGCTGCTGATATGTTTATATACTGCCTCTCCAGACAGGACTTAGATGTGATCTTCCTCTTGGGTTTCAGTCATGGATTTCAACAAATAAAATGAAAGGGCAAGGGTTTTAGGGACTCTTTTTTTGATGATCAAGGCAGGACCTGATGTTTCCTCCCATGTTTTCAGGCTGACCTTGGCCCTGACAAGTACCTGTCAGATAAAGATTTCCAGTGTCTGATCAAACTGCTTCCTTCCTGTTTGGTGAGTACACGTCCTTCTCTTCACCTTGGTGTTGAGATGATTATCCTCACAGATTCAGACCTTGTCTGGTGGGTGGACATGGAGAGAAGAGCTGGAAAAATCTGTAGCCGGGAGAGGCTGAGCTGTCGGAAGGCTGGTCCTCTCACAGGCAGGTGGATTGCCCAGGAAGCAGGGTAACTGGGCTTAGATACTAAGCGATAGGGAACAGCTTTCACCACAGATTCGTAAGTAAGCCCATGCTTATCTTGCCTGCCGGGTGCTCTATCCTCGGCAGAGACTGTACATTTGAAAAGAGGCTTTGATTCTGTAGGAAGGGGCTGTGGGGTTGTGAGAGAGACAGATGCAGCCGTACCTGAAAGCAGAATCTCTGAGGTGGTGTTTGATGTGGTGAAGGAATAGGAAATTACGGTATTCACTACAGGTTAGTAAGGAAGCACAAGTAAGCCTGAATATACCTTGCTTATTGGGTACCGGTTCCTGAAAATGAGAGGCCACGGTATTTATGACATCTGAACAAGCCCTGACCCATGTGACAGTGTAACCGCAGCCTTTGCATTGTAAGGAACACCATGGCAGGACTTCAGCCATTTCTTCAAGCTTTGGTCCTGGAGGTGGGCATTTCTATCAGTGGACTCAGGAGATCTGTTCAAGCCCAAGAAGGCAGAACGAACAAGATAAACTAGATGATGGGAGGCCAAGTAGCCACTTTGATGCCTGAGTTAGCACTTTATAGACTCACTAGTGGACTTTTAGGAGTGTTTAGCATTACATATGCTAATATTGAGTTCTCATCCAAACCCTGCAGTGGAGGGGGGGGGACACCAACCACATGAATATGTGTCAGTGTATATACAGAATGCCCTGAAGGAAGAAAACTAATCTGACCAGGAAATCGAGTTAGTGTTAATGTTCTCCATCAGCGGGACTCCAGTGTGAGTCACAGAGGGACTGTGCACAATTATGCTGACATGTCCAACTGGGCTGGCAAGTTCACTTTTAAAGATACAGTGTCTCGTCCAGCTAGAAAAATGAAGTTTTTAATGAAGTGCCAAGAAAAATGCTGAGGTCTTTGAGTTTGATTGATTATGTGAAGCAGGTGGTCAGCACCCACTTCTACATATCTTCTAATGCATGTGCTTTACCACAACAGCAGCAGCAGCAGCAGCAACCAAAAGGAGATGTGTACAAGTCCCTCAAACCCATAGCCGTGTTGTTGAATACCGACTCACAGCAATCCCCCGGGACAGGGTAGGACTGTCTCATAGGGTTTGCAGGACAGGGTAGGACTGTCTCATAGGGTTTGC